GAAAGGGAGGAAAAAATAGTAAAAGATATGTTGCTTTGATGATTTATGTATGAAAGTCAAAAAATAATTTGGCTGAATGATAAATGAAACACTAGACACTTGATCTGCCACTACAGACTAGGAAAAAAAATATAGCCTTAGAAGCATTTCAGTGGAAAAGTCAGAATAATGTTCTAACATTGTATCTTTGGATGCAAAGTCTTACAATGTGTCCAGAAATAGGAAACTGAGCAGAACACAAGAGAATCAGAATAGACCAGTTATCCATAGGAGTTTCAAAGTATGTTTCTGTTAGCTCTTTGAAATTTGTCACCAAACATATGTACCTCTGAATTAACTTTCAGTATCCAGGTTTAGTAAATTTCCTAGCAATAAGAATTTAATAAATTTCCCAGTAATAAGAAGAAAGGACAATCACAATGCCACTTGCATTAAACATCATGCTTGCCTGCAATATAGCTACTTTAAATATTAAAAATTACAAATTTATATTCAAACATTTTTTTAAAGAAACACCTCAATGAAAAGGAAGAACTTTTAAAGCAATCACTAGAGAATGGAATTTTTGGTGCTTTGATACCAACAAATTTAAAATAATGAAATCTATTCAAGATTTTTGAGTTCGAAATTATTTTAACATCTGCAGTGTAGCAGAATGGCACAATTCAATTTGCTAAATTGAATGGAATCTGGTTGAAAACTTTACCCTCTCAATTAAAACCCTTGTCATTGATTCCTCTTACAAATCTCTTCTTAGCCCTGAATATAACTTCATTCTCTTTGCATCTTGAAGTCTTTTACATTTCTAATTAGGTGGTTAGTGCCATTTAAAAGCAACCTATTCAAATGTCAAAGAAAGCACTTAATGGTTATACCTGCTGAACTAAATAGCTAGGAAATTCTTTACAAATATAAGTCTTCTAATAAGCTATCGTGAAGATTTGAAAAACAAAGATGTTGCTTGAAATGCACAAAACTATGATCCACAAAGTAGTGTATTAAAGAATACAGGCTAAATAACCCTTACAGGAGAATTGAACCTGAATTTCTAGAGAAACCAAAAGAACTTTAATTAAATTTTGAACATAAACTATACCTGTAGTTTGGAGACCAAATGCCAATGATTCAAACATCATTCAATCACATGAGAGAATTAAAGCATGGTGATTTTCATAGAAAGGACAAAATGGAAATTATTGCATAATTATATATGAAAAGGAAATTTCATTTTTAAATATTTTAAGTATAAGCACTACACCATAATACACTATAGTAGTAGGCTATAATATACAACATGTAGTTAAAATAGCTTATTGTTGGCATTTCCCACGTGCAGGTTGATTCTAAGAGACCAATACTATAAGGAAGAAACAATATTGAAAAATCCTTAGAGCCTAGGGGTCCACACCAAGGCTAAATAAATAGATGGACACATCAGTTCTGCTCCATACCACCTTGAGAACCTTACCTTTTTGTACCTCCATTTCTGTACCTATAAAATAATCATAGGACCAACTTGCATGTGTTGTAAATTACATGAGTTAATATGCATATTGCATTTAGAAGAGAATGTAGAACATGGAAAGATTCAGTAAACATCCCTCCCTTCTCGTCCCCCTCCCCCAAAAGGGGGAACAATAGAAGAGCTGTTGTTCATATAAACAAGAATGGTTACATTATTTGATTAGAATTATGCATTACTCTAATATTCTAAATGTGCAACCAGTAATACTCCAGTTGAAGATAAAACACTGTCTTTACATTGGATGTTCTGTGTTTTTGTATTTAGCTATTTACAATGCTTAATTAGGCAGTAACTTACTAAAGAGGTCTTTACTCATTAGGTATCATTACCTTGGTTAAGATTTGTTCATGTTTTTTTCTCTGAATTATTTAGAGAGGTGAAAATTTCTATGCATCCCTGAAGGCTGCCAAACAATTAGCTAGAAGCTCCAAGAGGCTGTACCTAGACTTAATCTACATGTATCAGGAAATTCAATGCACAACGAAGATTCATGGAGAGTGATTTAATGGATTATAACCCAGTCTGGGTCCTCTGAGTGAGAAACCCTGTTGTGTGACTTTGGTCTCCAGCTGCTGAGAAGTATTTTATGTTTCCATACCAAGACAAAGAAAAATCTTGTGAAAAGTGAATGATAATCAAGTCAGCTGCAGATTCCACCAAGAAAAGCAACTACTTTAACCCACAGAAATGTCCCAGAAAGACACAGAGTGAAGGTAATCAAATACTTCAAGGAGCTGATGGAATGGAAGGCAATACACTGACTATTTTCTAAAATGTCAGCCTCTTATTCAGAAAAGCACAGAGCTCTAAATTAAAATGATTTTAACGTCAGTCAATTAAATCAAGAAATAAAACGTGCTAAATTTCCTTGCAACAACACATAGCAATGTACAAAAATTTACTAGCTTTCATACTTTAAAAATCATTCTCAATAAAATGTTGGAAAACATTTGTATTAGACTACTTATTCTTAATTAATTCAATCTTGCAAAAATGTTCAGCTGGAGGGGAAGGACAGTTCTGAATTATTTCCAATATGCTTAATTAACTAATAAAGATTTAAAGTAATGATCCTTCCTGAATCTCCACATTTCATAAAATAAAAAGCAATAATAGCATACCATTATAATAAGGATGTTATGAAAAATAATGTGTAATTTACCTTAGATACTTTTTTCTTATTTGTGGTGCCTAGGCATCAAACCCAAGGCCTTGGCCATATTAGGCAAACACTCTAGCACTGATCTGCGTCTCCAGGCAATATTCTTTTGAAGAAACACATCTTAATGCTTGTCAGATTGATCTCTTCAAACTGCACTTGAGTGTTTTTAAGGACAAGTATTCAAAAAACAACCCCAGACTTGAAAAGAGTATGGTATTACTGTGATATTTTGGAATTCTAGTGGTACCTGCTGTGTACCAATTATCGAAAGCTCTATGTATTAACCCTGGGAATACTGAACTTGATTTCTTTTCACCATAGCATTGTTTCTAAGGCATTGATTTAAGAAGGACTTCAGTTTTATGATTCTTTGATGCTTTAAAAAAAACTATGGATTTCACTCAGGATAATTGGTAATATTTTTGAAAACCATTTGCAAAGTGTATTCTACAAAACACTATGTCCACAAGATGCTAGTACTAAAAAGGTTTTATAACAGAAGAGTGGGAAAAGGCCAGGTAGGAAATCTTTATTGCTAGCTTGAAGATTCTTTAGAATGCATGTTCTCTGAAAATAAGGAATTTGTATAAAGCTGTTCACTACTGCAGCCCCAAGCCTGTAATGGTGCTTAAGAATTAGCACACATTTAGAAGAAATGAATGAATGAATGAATGAACAGAAAGGCTTTGAAAGTTCTCCAGCAAAAAACTTTAATTTTCTGTTACTCAAAGTATTTCCTATTTATCTTATCACAGGAATCTTTGGCTTTTTCCTCTTAGCACTACAGGATACGTTAAGCATGTTAAATAACATTAAGTAAAAAAAAAAAAAGAACAGAGAAAAATATAAGCATGTATATAAATTCCATGTATATTAAAAATTAAGTATCACAGAAAAGAAACCTCCTGGCAATAACTCCTCCATTCCATTTGCCTGGTGAGGTAACCTACGTAATAACTTAGGATCACATGACACTTATTAACATCCCACTATGGGAAATCCTGAATCAGGGGATTGTTAAATTGTCTTCAAGTGTTAAGATTTTAATTTATTTCTAGCTAGTATAGATAACACAAATGGTTACGTGTAAATCTGTACACTTGCTGAATCAACACAATAGTGAATTAGAAATGAATGAAACAACACTACAAAGCAGATGAAAAAGGCAGTGGAAATTGATTTAATAATGACATTTACAGACAGGCTAGGCAGCTTTTCTTTCAGATGGGTTGATATAAAAACTAAAGATGTATATACACATATATAAGCAATGACTGCAGAAAGAACAGAAATATGGTTACTTAACATGGACTGAGTAATTTAGGAACTATTCTCCATAATTATAAAAGAAAACAACCTCAACTACATACTACATATATGTATATATGTATATTATATATATATATGCTAATTATGGGATAATATAAATCAACCTATCTATCGATCTATGATCTTGTCTTAAATCCCATGGGTCTGGAAAAGTAAAACATGCCTAGATCAATGTCATGATGCATTCACATTTACATAAAAGATGTAGAAATGCCCTTCTTAAGTCATATAAACAATTGGTAATAAAAATATCATATATTGCTGGTGAGACTCAAAGTGTAACAGCACCTGCCTAGCAGGCATGAGTGCTGCCAGTGCCGCCAAAACAAAACACAACAAAACAAAACAAAACCTCTTTTATCAATAGTGAGCATATTCCAATGGAAAAGGAAATGAGAACCAACAGTTTAATAGGAAAAAAACCCTATTTTTATTTTTAAAACGATATTTTTCACAGCATTGTTTTGGTAAAGCCTTTTTTCTTCAAATTTTAAACTAGTAATACAGATATTTCTAAATCATCTTGCAAAACATTTAAGTTTTAAATACTAATAAGGTATTTTTTGAATACTTAATTTTTGTTCTTTGCTTCATAGAATGGATAAAAATACCTAATGTGACATACTACTACACTTACTATCTTATTTCTAATTTTAAATATAAAGAGTGTTGATCAGTCACTCAACTAAGTGAGAAAACACTTGAACCTACTACCTACAGTCATATAATCACTCCTACAACTAAAATAAGGACCAGAGCAGCAGACTAGCAAGTTACAAGAATGAATTTTCTACTTCATGTAGTTTTACAGACAAGCACAAGGCTTAGGATTTCATTTTCCAGTCAACACTGCATTCATCCCAGATTAAATACTAGCAGGAATGAGATGTTACCTCACTCTGTCTTTAGAAGCCTACATGCCTTTTGACATATTTAAATGAATTAGTATTTATGTTTATAAAAGAAAAAAGTGCTAATTCCTACCTCCATTGTCTTTGAGATGCAGTGCTATCTTGGTATCATCTGGAAGAGAAATTCAAAATTATCATGAAAAAAACCCAAAGATTTTGAAGTTATATAAATCTCATATCTTGTAATTGTCTACAAATTGCCTTACCTGCAATAAGACTAGATTTTGACAATTTATTGAGATAGTGTCTAGCTCAATGAGAGCAAAATTTAGCTTTACATGATATAGTACTAGAAATTCTTACAGACCTTCGTAAAATATATGATTCTCAAGTTCTGTGAGAAAGGTAAAGTTATTTAAAATGCATTGACCTTTAACTTTCTCAAACAATTTATACAATTTGACTATATAGTTATGATCTTACTGTAAAAATCAAGATGAAGAAAATTACAAATTAATTGGAATCATCAGGATATATCAGCATCCACAAATTCAATTTAAAAAGTTAAATGCATTTTCACTAGTAACACATAGGATCAAAATCATTTATGAAAAGATCTTGCACTTAAGGAACAAAATGTAGGATATACCTTTTCATTTCAGTGGTTACATTTCATTCAAAAGGCTAGGACGTCAATTACGGGAATAGTTCCATGAGTTTTAGTATAACAATCCAAAATAATACAAATATTAAAAATGTTGCTTTTAAAAGCAATAAAATGCATTTGACATTTGTCCTCCATCTTATTTTATCCCAGGAACCTTGTAATAGCCAATTAAATTTCAATGAAAAGGAAAGGTTTCAAATTTAATTTAACATCCTATACAAAGGAAAGCAAAGGTTGTTGCAATAGCAAGTATGACTTGCTTACCCTTGGACAACTATTCTCATATTTCGTCTATTTCCTAATGGTACCATTCAGAATAGAAAGCTAAGCAAGTACTGGCAAACATACCTTCTTCCCCCATGCATTATATCTGAGTGTTAATACGAGTATTTTTGTTTCTCCACAAGAGGAAATAGTTTTGAAGGACAATACTTGTGACCTTCACAGTGCTTCTGTATAGGTTATAGACAAACATTTTATTGACTATATTCGGGAAATATTAGAATTGAATATGAGTTGAATTATCTATTGTTTAGAATCCCAAATCAATAGACATTTTATATGCATTTTGCTTTTCCATTCTGAACTTGCAATATTGAGTTTGGTGACTGCTAATTTTAGCCACATGGAAAGAAGTCTCTATTTCTTTTCCAGGGAGGACAAGAAGCCAGACTACAGGTAACAGTTAAGGCTTAATAAGAGACACAGTGTAGTAAAAGAATCCCAACACATAATTTCAGTCCATGATAGTTTTGTCTTTTTCCTCTTTAAGACATTCCTTAGAAATTCAGTTTGCAAAAGAATAACTTTTTCCCGAGAGCAGGAGATACACTAGTATACAACAACACACCGATTTCCTCCTCCATTAGAAGAAAAAGCAAACTATCTCTTGGGTACCTTCTGTGGGCAGGCTTGTGGGCAGCTGGGCGGTAGCTGCCCTACGGGTAGTCGTTAGGACCCTGAATTGTGTGGTTGTCGTGTGTACAGTTGTGGTGGTTTGAGAAGTTTCCACTGGCTCCGTGTTCTCACACATCTTCTCTTTTGACTAATAAGAGATGCAAAATGGAAAATAAATTGAGTGATCACACATGCATTTTTCAAAATTACATCAAAGAAGTTAGGCTGCAAGTACAAAAGGCTCTCAAATCAAGATGATGAATAAATTAGTCTTGTACCAGGCTATATTTACAGATTTTGCTAATTTACAAGTTTTTTTTTTTAATAAGAGAAAAGTAGTTGCAGCAACATCCATTTTTAGATTTTGGATTTCATCATTTTTTATATTACTATTTATCTTCCTTAAATTTTGTGTTGATGTATTTGTAAAAGGTATGACATCAGAAGAAAAGGTTGAAATTAGAAGAAAAATGTGCTGATAGATAAGATTTAAATCATTCTCAGGTACATGAAGAAAGAGTACATTCCCTTTATATTCTAAGTCTTAAACATTTTTCAATTACTTCAGGCTGTTTTACTGTCACAAAATTAATCTGCCACAGTTTTCATTTATATCCTACAAAATAAATCCTATAATTTCCATCAGCAACCCCAATCCAGCTCTTGTGTTACAGAGGACTCGCTCACTTTGGTAATCCTTGAAGAGAAAATAAGTGATGTGTACATGGATGGTATTCACCCTGTATTCGAAAAAGAGTTTCTTAAACTCTAAAGTACTATGCACATTTTCACTGGGAAATAAAGAGTTCCAGAGACAGCTTCTTTATCCCTCATTGGATACAATGCAGGTTTATTCTCTACTTGTCTCACCATCCTAGGGGCCCACTGCACACACCAAATCACACTTCTCACATCTTCTCAACTCCAAATGATCACTTCTTTGACCCCATTTTTGTTGTCATACCCATACTATGGACCTGATCTTCAGTAAGAAATGCTTTGTATTTGAGACATAAACTCATTATCCTGCTTCAGGTCACCTTTGTTACCTGTTCACTCATGTTCTTCTTGTCCTATGAATACTTAAAAGGCCCAAGCACAGTGACTTTCTTGCTTTATTCTGTCACTCCAATCTCTCTTTTTAATAGTTTAAAGCATCTTGGTCTATTTTTCTGTGTTTTTTTTTTCACATCTTTTCAGAAAATTCCCTATATTGTATAATATAGTAAAAAAATCTCCTTTTTTTCCATGTCAGCTCCAAAGGCAGTCATGTTCGCATGATCCCCTCGTGGGGAGTTCCACGAACCAATCTCCTACCTCCTCTACTGGACTATCCATGATACTTGACAGTACTGCTCTGCTTGGGTGCTCATTTTTCTCATGTACATGGGGTATTATTTTCTGTACTCTTGCCTCTACTTAAAACTACAGTCACATAATGATTTTCTCAATTTTATCTCTGGACTCACCTTTTATTTCTTTGAAGGAAGAAATGCATCAGTAAGAATTCTTTATATTTCTTTACAAATCAGCAACTACTTCCAGTCTGAACCGACTTCTTTCCTGCTGTTATAATGGATGAAGACCATCCCTTGCACTGATTCTTTCAAGCTGTGCTTGGCCCAACTCAGCCCCCTTTCTCAGGTGTTGGGAATGGGCTCATTCGATCACATCCATTGTTTTCCTATATTTGTCATATCCAGTTCTCTATTGACTTGATACTATGAATACTTCTCAAGAATGTCCAATTTTATCTCCTTTCACTTCTCCACAATATGTCCTGATGTTATTCTACTTTTCCTTCCAGTTACACTAATAAATAATTCCAGAGAGATTGGTCTTCCCTGGTCTTCTGACTCCCAGTGTCTTTACTTATGATAATCTTGTTCTTACACAACCCAACTCAATAGAAATTTCTCAAACCAATGTTACTACATATCTCCTTGGTTACTAGGTCTTCCCTGATATACCATGGCTATCTCATCAGTATTGAGCAAAGATTTCCACTCTTACATTGTTTTTTGTGATACATACTCTCATCCATTTTCTGAAACCTCTTTAACACCCCCTGTATTTTCTTTTATTTCTGTCTATCTGTTCTGTGGTTCTTACTGATATTTGACCTTTCATTTCACTCTATGCATTCTCACTAGCAATCTTTACACGAATGGTTTCAACTAACATTTTTATGTTGATTATTTATAAATATACATCTTTAGTCCACATTCCTTTCTTGGATTTCAGTCACAAATATTTGTCTTTTCACTGCCTGTGGATGTCACAGACATTGTAATCTCAGTATGGAACTTGACATCTGTTATTCCAAATGAACAGTACTCCCAAACATCCTAATGTTCAAAGTAACATCCTGGATTAAGTTTGCTTATGGTGGTAAAGGCAGATAAGGACTCTAAATGATTCTCCTGGTACAAAACAAGTAGATTCTAGATAAAATATGGATTTTAAAGCAGGATTAGAATTTGTAGGAAGTCAAGAAAATTTCCAATGGTGCCTTTCCACTGTCTCTCCCTCATTATCCAGATTAAAATAAAAAGAAAGGCTGTGTGTTATAAAGAAAGTAGGAAAAATAAACATTAAGCAAAGGAAAAAAAGCAGAGTTTACCCTGGGGAAAAAAAGCAAACATCAATATCATTGTAAAGAGACCAATCCTTGCATCAGCAGTAGATGGGGAATATAACTCTAAACCTCTCCTCCTGATGTGAGGCAGGTACTGTGGTGCCCTACACTCTCAGGATTCCATCATCAAATCCTCTTTGGTGAAAAGCATCACCTATTTAGGACTCTCATGGAATAAGATCAAACAAATATGCACTTAATATTAAAGGAAACAAAAAGAAAGAAAAAGAGTGGTCTGAAAAAGAGTCATCAAAAACAATGTACAATGAATGGATGGCATCCTTAGCCTACAAAACTTCAGATATTGGGATCATCCAATATGGAATATATAAAAATTCTAATGGAATATTTAAAGAAACTAAAGATAAAATTTAAACCAAATTTTACCTTGTAAAATAGCATGTAAAATTTTACCTTGTAAAATAGCATCTATAGTGTAGCATGACACTATAGAAATGACTTGACTGATTTTACAAAGTATCAGATTTAAAATTTATAAATGGAAAAAAATTTGGAAGTTACTTTCTCAATGAATAAACAAAAGATTAAATATGACAAAGGGGACAATTGATAAACAGGCAAATATATCTGAATAAATTTCTCAGAATGCAGCACAGATAAATAAGAAAGTAGAAGGTATAAAAAAAGAGGTTATAAAATCTGAGACAAAACAAAATGGTCAAGCTGATCTTCAAAGAATTCAAAAGGTGAAAATAAAGAGAATGGAAATGTGTAATTGAAGAGTTAATTGATCAGACTGGACATCCAACCAATGAGGAAACATACATTAGTAAGAATGTATATAAATTGTCCACTCAATGAAAAATTTCTAACACATTTTAAAGAGTCAATATTACATACAACACATTCTCTGGCAATAATTCAATTAGATTAGAAGTTAATAACAGAAGATAAATTTTAAAAAGTATACACAATTTGGAAATATGATATAACTTACCAGTCAAAGTATTTCCAATAAAAATGCAACTAAGATCTATTGGTTGATGTATTACAGATCTTGACAAGGTGATTCTAAAATCTATAGTGAAAGTCAAAAGCCCTAAAATCATTAAAGGACTTGTGAAAGAGAAAAAGTAAGGAGACTTGTCCTATAGATAGCAAGACTTTTCATAAAACTACTGTAATTAATAATGCAGTATGCCATTGGTCCTGACAATGACAAACCAAGCCTTAGAAGGGAGAGACTAGACACTATATATGAAAGAAGTGACATTGTGAGATATTGCCAAAAGGAAAGATTATTCAATAAATGGAGCTAAGGATTTGGTTATCCATGAGAGGAAAAATCCCCCAAAATTGAATTTCTAGCCCCAATTCCAAATGGAATAAAGACTTTAATGTGAAACATGAAAGAAAAAAGCTTTAAAACATTTAGAAGAAAATATATGAAAACAAATTAATAAAATTTTAAAGGAAAAATCTTTTAAAATGAAACATACAGGCACATAAAACTAAACATAAAAAGATTGATACATATGACACATTAAATTTATAATACTGTTAATTAGAATCAAAGAAAATGAACAGAGAAACCAAAATATGGAAGATTTATATAACTTGAGGTACAAGCTAGAGTAATAAAACAATAAAAACAAAAGGTATAAAAATAGAAAATAAGAATCCAAACTCTCATTTATAGATAATTTATAGATATCTCAATAGAGAACTACCAAGTACCTTCAGAAATATTTTTCAAATTAGGTAGAGTGTTTTATAAGGTGATTGCATACAATATCTGTTAAGATCTATTATGTCTGTTATATATAATCAACAGAGTCATGGTATCCAGAATAAAAATAAAATGACAACTACCCTATAGAAAAATGAGAAAAGACATGAACAGGTGTCTCACCAGAGAGGAAAGACAGAAAAGAGCCTAGAAATCACAAAAATATAAAAATACATTTGATTTCATTACTGATAAGAGCAATGTGAATTAGGTGCACAATAAAAACCATTTTGCACCATTAGATTTATAGAAATGAAGAACTCTGACAATACCGGCATGGTGGGTATGAAACAATAGGAACTCACAAGCAATCCAGCCCTGTCTACTTTTAGGAATACTAGAGAAAGTGCTGTACATTTGATTCAGGAGACATGCATATGTTTATGTGAAACAAAAGGATGAGTGAGGAAAATATGATTACAGGAAGTTACATTCTGGGAAGGCAGTGGGTGGTGGATTTTTGTTTTTTTTTTAAATTTTCTTTTTTTTTCTTTTATTCATATATGCATACAATGTTTGGGTCATTTCTCCCCCCTTCCCCCTGCCCCACTTACCCCCTGTAAATTTTCTTATTACTACATCCCAGTACTTCAGAAGTGTCTGGGACATCATGAGCACATAACAAATATTTGTTATGCAAATGAATTCCATAATCATACCCTAGAATACAGAGCTTGGAAAATGAAGAAATTACCAACATGGGAGCCAGCATGGGTCAGTGTAAGCAGCAAATTTCTCAGGGATAAACCTGAAGTTCAGAATGGTTTTGCCTTTTAAAATTTTATTTATTTTTCTGAGACTGGGGTTTGAATTCAGGACTTCTACCTCTTGAGCCACACCTCCAGTCCATAGACTAGTTTTGCTTTTAATAGGACGAGGCAGGGATACGATGGAGCAGAAGCACACAGGTAGCGTCTTAGTCATTGATAATTCTAGTCCTTAAATTACACAGTCAATCACAGGCCCTCATTTCTTATTGTGCTTCAGAATTACGTTAAAGTTATAAAATGTTAAAGATTTTTAAAAGACTATAAAAGGAAGAAATTTTAAAAAATACTCTTAGTTTTCATTTCCATACAACCAACTACTTACTGATTCACCACCACCACCATCACCATAGTCACCACACTTCTGTCCACTGTTTTGGTCCAACACTGACCCAGGGCAGAACTACAGTCAACCAATGGGCCTCTGAGTCACAGTCAGACATTTATCCTTTTGATTAACCAACCCACTTAGACATTATCCTTTTGATTAAGACCAGTCAGTTTCCCTTCTCTTTACTTCTTGTCACTTGGAGGGCCTGTTTGACTCATCAGTCTCACCTATCACCATGTGTCTTTATTCAAGTTGTCTTCAGGCTTCTCCTTAAATATCACCTTCTCTTTTCCTTCTTAAGAAGACCATGCATATGTGGTCACCTTTCTCTATCTTCTATAGCTCAGCATGAAATCACACTGACACAAGAAAACTAGATGTCTGAATTACATTCTGAGTCTTCACAAAATATAAGCATTCATTTTTGAACATTTTGTTAATGAGTTAACTGTGGTTATGTAAAAGAAACAATGATCTGAAAACAGAATTATAGATTCATGAGTGTATTTTCTTTCGACCTGTGTTGTTATATAAGTGAACTGAGGTTAAAGGATTTATACATCACTATAATTCCCCAAGTGAATGTCAAAATTTTTAATATTATAAACTTCAAGAATGGTAGCATTTTGATTTTTTGTTCTGGAAACAGAATGGTTTCACTGAGCTCAATTGATCATCTCACCTCAGCCATGGATTACAGATGTGCACCACCACACCTGGCCACAAGAATTTTATTAAAGATGTATTTCTAAGATCTCCCAGACATCCCCAGTGCTAAGTGAATTTTTAAAAGTTTCTAGTAAACACTGATCTTCTAACAGTTTTTAGAAGAGTACTTTGGTATGATTTGTTTTACCTTAAGAAAACTTGTATAATTATTAATAATTTTTATTTCAACCTCATACCTTAAAACTTAAAAAAAGGAGAGAAGAAATACTTTTCTTCATGAACCTTAGAGGACGTATGTGACCCTGAAATGATGGTGTAAAAGGAATTCACTGGAAAACATGTAAAGCTGTTAAAATTGTTCTTCAGTGAATTATTCCATGCATCACTGTCTCTATCATGTTTATGCTGGAGTTTATGTTATACCAGTTCTCTACGCTAGCTGTGTCATACTCTTTCTCCTTTAGAGCACACCGCTTTGCTATAATTACTCTTTTCTCTCACACCCCTGGTTTTGTTATTTGAGCTAAAAAGAGGAACTGTGGTTTCCTGGACAGTAGAAAAACAAGTCTAGGAGAACTGCCTTTGGCTCATACAGATTCACGTTCTTGCTCTTTTTAAACCAGGTGCCTAAATCTTTAAACTCACGCACTTCCCCGTTCCCCTTCATCTTTCCCTCTTCTCTTCCTGGTAGTAACAGCTCCTGCCTCATAGGATGGATATGAGAAAAGAATTGAGATAATCCATATAAGTCATTAACAATTCTGGCACACATTAGAGGCTCAGCAATGGCTGGTTATTTTGTGTGAATCATATCCAAATTTCATCAAGTTAAAGCAGCAACAGATGTTGTCCCAGGAATCTTATGATAAAGAATATGTGTACCTCTTCAGGGCATCCACTGTCCACCCAGTCCTGGCGGTGGCGATCGAATCCACTGGAGCATCTTCAAAGATGACCACATTGCAGTTCAGAAAAGAGAGTATAGAGTGCAACAGGGGAACAGAAATAAAAGGAAAAAAAAGTTAAGTGGTTATTACTCAAATTTTTAGTTCAGGACATCAATTTTCTCCTACAGAACTGGTGACTAGTATGCATGAAATACTGACAGTTACTGAATTCTTTCCTTACTCAGTTGTCATACATTTGGGATCACACAGGCAACACACCAGAGGTCCTCTGCACAAAGGTAAGACCAATTGCTGTTCTAGGAAGTTGGTTTTCTTTTTCTTTGTAGTGTTCCCCTCATCATTAAAACAAGTGAATACAGAAAGCTTTTTTCAGAGTTGTCATTTTTTATGATTTCAGATTTATTCATTTATTATTTTAAACTCACATAAACTCTGTATTATACAGCAAAGAGTTAACTCAGCAATTTTGGGATAGTTCCCAGGAAAGCTGAACTATCCTAAATCCTGCCTGATGAGAGTATAATTTTAGGTCTTGAGTTATGTTATATTTTATTTTTAATTAACTGATTAGTTGTGCTGGGGCTCAATTAATGCCAAACCCCAGGCCTTGTGCATGCTAGACAACACCTACCAGTGAGCTACAACTCTAGCCTGACAGTATGATTTATCATGAGTATCCGAGTTTCTTCACCTGGAGCCTGGGGTCACAGGTCATTTTGACCTATGATGAAGCTGTAGACTGAGAGGTAAGTGAGATTAGTTACAGTGGTGCTCCCTCCCTTCATGACTGACCCTGATGAAGGCTTGGTGAGCAATGCTTATGTGTTGCCCCACAGCGATGCTGGGAGAATTAAGGGCTGTCTGTTTGATTTTGTTGAGAAAGGGCAACTGGGAGTCTGTGCCTGGTCTGGCCTGATTTTGTCCTATGCATTTTTTTTCTAATTAATTAATTAATTATTATTGTGCTTGGGGTACATTGTGGCATTTGCAAAAGTTCTTGCAATTCAAATATATCATACTTGAATTCACCCCCTCCCTCATTTTCCTTTATTCCCCTCCCCCATTCCTACAGTTTCAACAGGTATCAGTTTTTCAATTTACATATATGTGCATACAGTATTTGCACCATAGTCACCCTCCCATGCCCTTCCCCCACCTCTTCCCCCTCTCACTGGTACCAGTCATCCCAGGCAGGATCTGTTCTGCCTCTTTGATAATTTCAATCCATCTCTTTTTCTGTAATAAATGGCAACTTTGAACATAACAGCTTTCCCGAGTTGTGAGAGTTCCTCTAGTGACTCTCTGTGAGTTCTTGGGGAAGTCCAACTACACTCTGATCGTATCAGGCCACAAAGGTCTGATTTAGTAAGATTTTGTTCATACTCTTTTCCTCAACTAGCATCATTTTATGTCTTTCCTTCTTAACCTGATGCAGTCCATTCATTTTCAAGGCCCAGAAATGACTATTCAGAGCCTGTTCTGACAAAGCTTTTTAACTGCTGTGATTACATCTTCCTTTACTATTTAATTATACTTTACATAATACCTCAGAGGTGCTTAGGTCTTAATGACCAAATCTGATTGAGAACATTTTAAAGTTGGTGGGGGGTCAGTGTCTTACACTGACTGCATCTAATATATCTGATAGAATTTTTTTCATATTAGAAAGAAATTTAAAGTATTTTTCCTAGTCTATTAAAATTAAGGATTTCCATCCCACTTGATTCAATATTTAAATATATCAAAAGAATCCATATTAATATGTATTAGTCTCACAGGCATTTATTTACTTATCAAAATATTCTGAAAGGCATTCAACAACTCTTTTATTTTTTGTAGTGCTTACAGTTTTACTTTGCAACCTTTGATTCCTATTTCACTTGTTTTGCAATGAATCCACATGATAGCTTTTTCTAAGAATCCTAGCCAGACATTATGTACCATGGCATGAATGAGCATAATTCAATTCAAGTGGAATGTGAAAACAACTCTACTGTCAACAAAAAAGACCGTATCTATCATTCGCTCTGGATGTGATTCACGAAGCCCAGCTATTTTATGCCTACCATCTGTGTTGAATACGCTTAAGTGTGGAATAAACACCAGTGTGTGATTTGGCATCCTAACTTTTCAAATTGGCTAAGGCCATCTCTGGTTCCCCAATAAGATCTGATGTGAGGCATCCATTTAATTCCATGTCAGCTAAATGACTGTTCCCTCTTCTTTTTATTTCAAATCTGTTCAAATATTGAAAAATGTAAGATGTGAACATATGGATTTTCTACAAAAAATGTTTTGGGAGAGTCACCAGACCACGAGTAACTAAATGGAACAGATAATTTTTTTAAACCTAGTTTGGTTTATGTACTCTATTCCAAATGTACTCAAAGTCATTGTGATACATTAACTTTTATCTCATAACAAGATAGCACCAAATCTTAAATTTGTCACCTGAAATCTTACCATAGAAAAATTAGCTCCTTAAATTGCTAAATTAATCCCAGTTTTCCTTGATTTATTAAGCAATCCCCTAGCTATTATTGTGTGAAATTAAGTTCTACTGAAAATTTATCAGTCAATTAAGTAGCTCATTCACTTATTTATTCACAACTGATTCCCTAATAATTTATCTATAGTTTACTAGTTGAGAATGGCAAAACAAGTAAGATTTGGTTTGTAAGCTCATACTTTTTTGTAGCTTACAATGTCTTAAAAAGTGAATAAAACTAGATCCTGCCTTTCCAGCCTGTTTAAAAAATAGCCCAGCAATCTAAGTAGCATCCAAAAGTAATTATAAGCAAAAGGGTGTGTGCATGCATGTGTTATATGGTCATTTTTATAAGCTACTTTCACACTATTTCTAAATCCTAAATGGAAAAAAAAATCACTGTGGGAACACTTCTGTCTCCAGTAATTTGCTGTTTCTTTTCTTTTCTTTTTTAAAAAATTTAATGCAATGATATTAACCATTCTTTAGCTTATTGATTTCCAAACATTTTTAACAGTGATACAGAAAGACACTTTGAACTTGGAGTTCAAAAAATTGAAATGCAATTCATGGGTCTGACAGAGTACACTGTGAATGATTCTCTGGCAATTGGGGCTCGGTAATTTTCACGGTAAACAAGCACCTCAGCTGATTCTTACTGCATTGATATTAGAAAACTAATGACTTCATGTAGCATATGATCAGGACCTTTGCCCATTCCCACAGCTCACTTAATACAACCCATTCTCATGTTCCTTGGGCTCCAAGAGGTGTACATTGCTTGCCCTTCCCTGACGATGCTAGGTTTTCCATGGCATTGCTTTTGAGTTTGCTCTTCTGTGTCTCTAGAATACCTAATTCATAAACCCAATTCAACTCAAGCCTAAGCTCCTCTCAGAAAAATCTTCTCCCACTCTGCAGAGTCAGCAAACCTTTTGCAGAAGGTCCCCTCTCCCCAGGCCTAGTGTAAGCACCTACTATTATAGTACAGTTGGTTGCTTTCCAGTTTATCTTCCAAGACTGTAGGGAGAATGTGGTTAAAGTATGTTGTTTGTTTTAGAATTTTGTCTTAGCTCAGAATAGACGCATGATTCTAGGCAGGTTAATTTTGCTTTCAACAGTTTTGTTTTATCATGGCAAATTAGAATTGCATATATTTAAGCAGCATCAAATAATATTAAAACATATGTATTCAATGTGGAATGATTAAATGTTAATTAATCCATCCATCACCACAAGTGCTTATTTTTTGTAGTGAGGATATTTGAAATTTACCTTCGTAGCAATTTTGAAACTATTGTTAACTCCAGTTTCCATTCTGGGCAATATAGCTCAAAAATTTCATTCCTCCTGTCTAGTCAGAACTTCGTTCTCCCTGAATTGTTTCCTCCCCGCTAAGCCTATTTTCTCATCTGTAAAACAAGGGAGGGGAGATTATGTAAGAATAAAAAGTTGGATATATAGTATACAGTTAAGATTCAGAAAATGTTACTTATTACTAAACTTAAGTAATATCTTTGTAGTAGGCATGAAGCAAAGTTGACAATTGAAGAAAAATAAAGGAGGGAGGGCTGGTAACAATGCGGGGGAGAGGTTTTGGGGAAAGGGGTTAGGAGAGTGAACACTGTGCAATAAAATGTTTACACGTGTAAGTAAGTGCAAAAATGATACCTGTTGAAACTGCTCCAGTAACTGGGGGAGGGAGAGATGAAGGAGAATGGTTGAGGAGGTGAATTCATGTATGATGTACTTGACACATTGCAATGACCTGTGTAAATGCCACAATGTACCCCAATCTATCACAACAATAAAGGGAAAAAAAGTGAGATTTTTCACCTTATATACAACATTTTAAAAATGTTTAGGGTTTATTCTCTGTATTATATTAATGTGAAATGTGTTTTATAATATGAATTCCTTATCATTGTATTTGGGAATTAGTATTATAGGATCTTATGAGAGAAAATGCAGTTTCTCTCACATGTGGGCTAAATCCTTATTCAATATTATAAAGTTTACAACTGTTTTGTAAATATCCTTCACAAAGTGATTTTTTTAAAAAAAAAGTCTCAGCACCTAACTACAATATGTTCCCAATGTTTTAATTTCCAGGTCATTCTCTTCTTACCATTACCTAATTCCAAACAAATTAATAGAGAGCTGTACTTTAAATTAATTCTATTATTGACTCAGTTTTAATGTGTTAATTTCAAAGCTTCCCCAAAACAATGCTGAGTGACTCCTACTAGAAAACTAACAATATTCTCCTTATGCTTGTGGCATAAATCAAAAGGTACTTATAAGTCTTACCACAGTTTTTGCTTATCTCAGTTTTGAAGAAAGGGTTTAAGAAATAGGACTTCTTTTGCAAGGGTACTTATATTTGGTTGAAGGAAATAAATGTTAGAATGTATGCATGAGCAACAGGTGAGCATTAAAAATGAAGAGTATGTCTTGCTGGAACAATGGACACGTGTCATTTTGCCAGTAAGATGAAAGTTCTACAAAAGAAAACTTAGGAAAGAAATCTCAAAGAATCTAGACTCA